TAGACCCTACTCATACATATGTAAATACACGAAAACACAAACATTATCTCCCTACATGTCTTTTGAGGGTTATTTATTTTGCGGGATGTTTAACCCTTTCTAGCCATGCATCACACAAGGTCTTTGGATAGAGACCCTGTTTATTTGGCAGAATTTAGCTGTCATAGTGCACCATGTATGACAGTAGTGCTATATAAATATGAAATACCCTTATAGAAAAGGTTTTTCATATGTATATCTTTTCCATTAGATTGTGTCCTTGTAACCAGTTCTATTCAGAGTGCACTGACATTAGGGATGTAAATAATGTGTAAAAACAGTAACCGTGTAACTGATTACAATTCTGTCGGTTACACGGTTAAACGTTTACCTGGGGAACTAGAGGTGCAGGGGGTGCTGCGGCACCCCCATGTTTTATGTGGGGGTACCTGCTGCTACCCTGGTGTCGGTGTGCCTGGGGTCCTGGTAGTTGGGACTGGATTCCAGCCATGTCGGGAGGCTGGGCAGCAGCAGAGTCCCGGCACGGGGCAGCAGCCGGGATGCTGGGCGCGCAGGGATGCCGAGTTGGCGGGCGGCAGCAGAGTCCTGGCCATGGGGCCGGCAGCCTGGAGGGACCCCAGGTGCGTGGGGCCGGCACCCTAGATGGACCCTGAGTGCGCCCGGCGGCAGCTGGGACCGTAACTGACATGTTTGGAATATAAGTAGGATGTGACAAAGTTGTGTTTCTATGTTTGTTGTCTGTTGTTCTAACAGTTGACATGCATCTCGGTAGGAAGTCAACAGATTTTTTTTTGTACTTTGGTTTCAGTTTTCAGTCTGTATGTCCCCACTCAAGATCATCTGTGGGGGTATTTTATGCCATTATATTATTTATTTGTATTGCTGTAGCACCGAGGAGCCCCAATTATGGACCAGGAGCCCATAGTACTAGGTGCTGTACAAACACAGAACAAAAAGGTGGACCATTCCATAGAGGCATTAAGGAACCATATGAAGAACTGGAAAGAAGGTTTCCTATACAGGATATCCGTTTCCTCAATAAACGGTTTATGAAAACTTCCTTATTTCATGTTAAATTGGATTTAAATTATGACCTAAAGATTGATAGTTAAACACGACATCACAAAATCTATCAAATAAAATTAAAAAAGAAAACACCCTGTAAATAATTTGTCCAGCACCACTCAGGGCAGCTGCTAATTTTCTCCAGAAATGTGTAATTATGGCAGGATTTACTGCTAAATACGTACATAAATAACAGGCATGAAAAGAGGAACATCCCTTAAGTGCTGATGGTGGGGAAAGGGACATGCAGAGAGAATTACATTTGCAGCACAAACAAATGTGAAATGTTGTAACTCTCACCAATATGAAATTACTGTAGAATCTCTAGAAAATCTAGTAGAATAAGCATGTTTTCAATAATTTATGGGTCAGCATCAGGAATTAACTGCTGATATGGGGAAAAATTAGAATAAAGCCTAGCTGTAAGAAATAATACACCTTTTATGTATAATTTTTAGAGAGTAGCAAGCAGGCCCTATGTATTTCTGCTTGTTATAATGTGAATACTTGTTTGTAGTTTAGATATTTTCTCTTGAACTTCTCATATGCTGGCAGCCTATGTATGCAAAATAATTCCCCGAGTGGAACTGTGTTGCATCTCTACAAGATCACTGGGCCAGCACCAACCAACCACCTCTTAATTTGATTTATCTGTTACAGCAGAACCATACTGAAAATGGGAGGGTCATTGCAAATGATAGAATTTTGCAAATAGAGTAAGCAAATATAATAAAAAGGGATAATACATCACAAATCTTTATTTGTTTTGACATTTGTATTTTAGCACATTATGAAATGTTCTCAGTAACTGAAAGTTCTAAATATAAAGTAACAAGAAACCTTACTCCAGTGGTCCCCAACCTTTTTCGTCTGGCGGGCGCCAGACGACGAGCCACCGCCCGGCGGACGAGCATCCACCGAAATGCTGCCGAGAAGCGGCAACGTCAATAGGCGTTGCCACCGAAATGCTACCGACAAGCAGCGTCATCCAGAGGCGTTGCTGCGGAAATGCCGTCGATTTTCGGCGGCGACGCCTCTGGATGACACTGCTTGTTGGCGGCATTTCGGCGGATGCTCGTCCACCGGCCAGTACGCGGATGCCATGGCGCCCACGGGCACCGCGTTGGGGACCGCTGCCTTACTCCAAGACGCTGGTTTTAAACCTCTGTTGCAAAGAAGGGAGGGTCATATTTTTTTTTGAGTATCCAGATTATAAAGTGTGTGTGTTAGTAAAATAAGGCTTAGCAAAGTTCTACTAAAGTGATTTGGTGAATTCATACTAGAAATTTACAGCTCTTTTGCTTATCTTAAATAATAAATGAGGTGTTATACCTTCAGCAGTGGTTTACATACTAAACAAAACTGGCCTGGGTTGGAAGTGACAGAAAATTTACTATCTGATGATGGTGTGAAATGAATTAGTGGTCACCATCCAGTGCATAGTGGACAGGTGTTGGCATCACAAAAATATTGACAATTACTCTGGGGTTTCTCCTGCCACCTGCGGCTCCCGGCCACCAGTGTTATTGCTCAGAACACGACAAGTGATTAGAGACAGGAACTTAAGGCAACAGGAATAAGTGCACTAGCTGCCCGCCAGAGGCTTGAGTAGGCATTCGCTGTGCATTGCGGGCAGGGGGACCCCACAGTTCCCAGCCGCTGTGGGTAGGGGGACCTCACAGCTCCCAGCCGCCATGGGCAGGGGGACCCCGCAGCTCCGAGCTCCCACGGGTGGTGGGAGTCCTAGGGGGTCCCCATTTTGTCACGGATATTTTTAGTAGAAGTTAGGAATAGGTCACGGGCTTCAGTTAATTTTTCTTTATTGCCTGTGACCTGTCACTGACTTTTACTAAAAATATCGGTGACAAAATCTTAGCTTTAATATTGAGGAGCTGACCAGGCTGGTTTCTAGGCACTACTGCAGCATACATTTTAAATAATATTTAAAAAGCCTTGCTTTTGCAGACTTACTTTTTCAGCCACCTGCCCATCACCTAGTGCTTCCCCCGCCCCCTCCTGTTTTCTCTAAATAATCCATTCAGACTTCTAAAACAGACTGTTGTAGAACACACAACTTAGATTATATGTAAGGCTCCGTTTGAACAGAGAGCTATATTCACAGATTCAACAGATGCCTGGGAATGTTAGAGTGAACCTCCACACACTCAACCCCCGTTCTGTTTCCTTCCTTTTTCTTCCCACGCTCCCATAATCCATCACTGCACCATTGTATGACAGATTAGAGTTATGCCTTTGCGCAGTTTCTGCTTTTTAAGATTAGATCTAATACGTTTGTCTGCAATGACTAATCCAGTTCAACAGAGCTTCACTTTAGGGTTTTAATATGTACTATAAAAAGCATTGAGACAATGTATGACAGTTGCTGTGTGAGAGCAGTGTATACAGTATAACAGAGCATAAGATTCTGAAATTGGCAGACTGCTTCTGTGGTAGAGCCTCCCATATCCAATCATGTTGTTGTCACACAGGTGAACGTAAGTTAATTTATGGTTTTCATAAGTACAGTCTCAAACTACTTCTTCAAGGTGAGCACTAAAGGGCAAATGATAATGGAGAAGTGTCACTATGGTAGGTGTTGGAATTATTAATATTTGAAATTATTAGTATGGGAAACTAACAAACACTAATTTAACAATACATTTTTCTATTCAATCCAAAGGCCAAATGATACTTATACAATTGCTCTAAATAATAAGCAATTTACTACATACAAACAGTAACAAAACATTTATAAGCATTTGATCACGATACTTACAAAAGGGCTACACCTAGGGGCACTTAGCAGAGCTGAAGCATGGGGGGGGTGGGGAAGAGCCATGCAGGCAGGGCCGGCTCTGGCTTTTTCGCCGCCCCAGGCGAAAAAGCCTCCGGCCGCCCCCCCGCCCCCCACCGCGGGGGCAGCCGGAGCCCTGGGGGGAGGGCAGCGAGCCCCGGCGGGGGCTCCGCTCTCCCCCCGGCGACCGGGGGGAGGGCGCCGGGGGGGAGGGCGGCCGGAGCCCTGGGAGGAGGGCGGCGAGCCCCGG